AACTGTTTTAAGTTACTGTTTAAATCTTGTTGCTCATTATTGATCTGTTTAAGTCATTTGTATCTTCTTGGTTCAGTTTTGGTAGGTCATATGTGTGTAGAAATTTATCTATTTCTTCCAAATTTTCTAATTTTTTTGAATATATGTTTTCAAAATAGCCTCTAGATTTCAGTGGCTTCTGTTGTAGTCACATTGTCTCTAATTTATTAATTTAAGTTCTTTCTTTTTATGGCTTTTTTGTTGTTGTTGTTTTTATTGTTCTCTGGATGACCTAGCTATTCATGAGAGCGGGTCATTGAAGTCACCTACTATTATCATGCTGGGCTCTGTCTGGGCTTTTATGTCCATTAGTGTTTTATGCAATCTGGCATGCAGACGTTTGCTGTGTATATGTTTACAATTGTTATATCCTCTTGATGCATTGTTCCCTTTATCAGTGTGAAGTGACCTTCTTTGTCTCTTTTGACTAATTTTGGCTTGAAATTTGCTTTTACAGATTTGAGTAGAGATGTTCTTGTTTGGTTTATGGTTCCACTTGCTAGAAATATCTTTTTCCATCCTTTCATTTCAAGCCTGTGTTTGTCTTTGCCAGTGAGGTATGTTTCTTATAGTCAACAAATGGTTTTAATCCAGTCTATTAGCATGTGTTTTTTTACTTGTAGACTTGAAAGCATTAACATTAAGAGTTACTATTGAAAGGTAATGTTTGATTATTGCCTAGTCCTTGTTTGTTTATCTATTTTTCTAGTGAGATTTATTCTTCTCCATATTCTCATCATTGTGTTTATCTTCCTTTTCTGTTTGTAGAGTTCCTTGAAGTCTCTTCTGCAGTTCTGGTTTAGCGATCATGAATTTCTTTTTGTTTGTCATGGAAGGTTATTATTTCTTCTTTAATTATGAAGAATATCTTTATTGTATACAATAAACTAAGTTGACAATTGTTTTCTTTCAGGGTTCAAAATGCATCCTTCCATGCCATCCTTGATTTTAGAGTTTCTGTTGAGAAATCTGCTGTTTTTCTGATGGATTTTAGCTTAATATGAGACTTGGCACTTTTTTCCTTGTAGCTTTCAATATGCTTTTCCTGTTTGGTATACATAATTTTTTAACTACAATATGATGTGGGGATGTTCTTTCCTGATCATGTTTGGTGTCCTCAAAGTCTCTTATACTTGAATGACCATCCCTTTCCCAAGATTTGGACATTTTCTGCTATTATTTTTAAAATACATTTTCAATGCCTTTAGCTTATACCTCATCTTCTTCTATGCTCATAATTTGCAGGCTTGTTCTCTGAATGGTGTCCCAGAGGTCTTGTTTGTTCTGTCTTTACTTTTTTATGTTTCTTCCCTGCTGTCTGAATGTTCTAATTCTATCTTGTTGTCAAACCCTGATGTTCTGTCTTCTACTTGAGTTTTATTTGATTTACTGACCTTTTCATTTCCAATATTTCAACTTGCTTTTTTCAGAATTTCTATCTCCTTATTGAATTCATTTTTTGTATTATCATAAATACAAATATATCTTATATCATTCAGATGTTTATTTGTATTTTCTTTGAATTCATTTAGGTATTTATTCATGTCTTCTTTGATTTTGCTGATCATTCTTATAATCATTCTTTTTAATTTTGGGGATTTCATCTACTTCACTATCATTAGTACCCATTATCGTGGAATTGTTGACTTTTGGAAGAGTTGTGTTGCCATTGCAAAGTTACCAAGTTATTGCTTGGAGATTTTAACCTCCTGTATATTTTTCAGACAAAATATTCACACTGTCCAGGCCAGACTGGGTGGTGACCACATTGAGGTTCAGTTTCTTACCACTGAACTAGGTGTGAAAAGAAACATTTGCTGAATGTGCTCAAAGCACCAAGCCTGATCCCCAGCACTACTGAGAGAGAAGAAAACTGTGACGGGCAACCACAATGGTTAGATACACTCACTTATGGAAATACAGTAGCAAATAATTAAAAATAATTACAACCACAACTCTAATAACCTTACAGGAATAAGAAAGCAAAGATACTACTATTTGAACTTAGAAGATTCTTGTTAATAAGGATAAGAATTGAAAGAAAATAGGAGGAACAATAATCATGACTAGTGCAAGAAATATAGAGAAATTAAAATGGAAGGGAAAGAAAATGGGAAGGATGAGAAAGAAGGAAACAGATAGATAAAATCCAGCGAAAAGTTAAATAAGAAAACTACCAAGAAGAAAAAAAGACCTAGAAAATAAACAACCCAGCCAAAAACAATGATGATAAAGAATTGTAGAAGGTATAATAGAAGAAGGCAAAATAAGAGAGAAAAAAACTGATGTAGTTAAAGACAGAAAGAGAATAAAATGGGGGGGGGGAGGGAAAATGAAGAAAGAAATAGAGATGATTAAAAGTTAAGTATTAAACACTGGGTGTGATGGCTCATATGTACCATTCCTGCACTAAGGATCTGAGGCAGGGAGAGCACAATCCCCAGGCTAGCACAGGTCATGTGAGGAGCCCTTCTCAAAGACAGAACAAAAAATACAAGTAAAAAGATAAGAACAATGAGAACCAAAACTGAAAGAAAAAGAAACAACAAAAGAGATCAAAGAAACTAGATTTTAATGGAGAAGAAATCTAAGGGAAGTGAAAAAAAGAAAAGGGAAAAACTAAAATAGTATAAAAATTATATGTAAATATTTAGATCACTCTGTCTGGCTTTACAAGTCTCTATAGGAAATCTATCTGTCAAAGAGAATAGGAAAAGAGAAACAAAGGGCAAAGTAAAATAAAAACAGAAAAAAAGTTTTTAGTAATAAAAAGAGGGTTGGTTTCCAGGTCTTTGGTGTGGGCTAGACTACCTTTACTTTCTCTGGTCAGTTTGGCAACCTGCCCCTGGTGATTTCCTGTATTGATGGAGTAGAATGCAGAGGGGACACTCCAGTGGTTGTTACTCCAGAACTGGAAGGAGCAGACTGTCAGCTTATGGCTGGAACCTTAGGTGTCTGGTACTGGGGTGGGGATGCACCCACTGGAGTGGAACACTCTGTGGGTTCTATACCCACAGGCTCTCCCCCTCCAGCACTGTATCCAGACAGGGAGTGGGTTCTACTCCTCTCCATGAGTCTGAGAGCAATTTTCCTCTATATGGACCTCTTGTCTCTGACTCACATCTTTCTCAGCATCTGGTCCAGCTTTCCCTGTCAATTCTCAATGAGTAAGCATCAAATCTTGCTGTGTGCTCCCAGAGATAGGATGACTTATGAATGCTGGGGAGAAGAGATCCTTGCCTGGGCCTATGTGCTTTGGAGGACACCAACAAATCTTCTTGGTATTGAGTCCAGTGTTCATTGCATTTTTGTGTGTATATGTGTGGGACTGGAGTTTGAACTCAAGCCCTTGCACTTGCCAGGAACGTGCTCTATCACTTGAGCCATACCAGCAGCCCTTTTGACTTTATGTTGAATAGGGTCTCACCATTTATGCCCAGGCCGGCCTGGACGATGATTCTCTTCTCCTATTTATGCTTCCTGTGTAGTTGGAATGCAGGTGTGCACCACCATGCCCACCTTTTATTTGTTGAAATGAGATGTCATGAGACCTCCCCATCTCTACCTCCCAAATATCAGCTAATGTAGGGGCTCTTTCTCAACTTTACTTTGCAAGGGCATGTCTGCAATTCTTATGAAGTCAAGCAGGACACATTTTCCATTGGCACCCATGTCTGCTGACATTAAACAAATAACTTGACTCTTTCATTAAGTGTGGCAAAAATGTAATGAATGTTGTTTTAAATTTATTCAGCATAAAACTTAAACATTTTATTCCTGAAGAAAGATGCATTGATATCCCTGTCTTTCCCTTTTTCAAAAAATAACAAAGTGAGAAATCACAAGTAAACCAAGGAACAAGACACAAGAGAAAATAATGTCAGGAAAAAGAATGGACTAATGTCTCACTGAATTTTCTGTTTTATCCTTCAAATCTATGCTCCCTTTTGCTATTAGGCTTTTCTTTTTTCCTATCTAACTACTTTTGTGCCAACAAACCAAATTGATGTTGATCACATTTTCAAAGTTTTATCGAGCTTCTCAGTGAGGAAACCAACAAAATGAAGAAAAAGCAAGTAGGAACATATAATGTTTGAGAGCAGGAGATGGAGGGAGAATGTTTACATAGTTTGTTGAACTAGATACAGACGTAGTGGTATTCTACCTTCATCACATGTGGTAACCTATCTGTATCATTTGTTTGAGTCATACCTGGGTCATGATTAGTTGGCACCATCTCTCGGCAATGCCACATGCAGATGACCCTTCATCAGAAAAAAGGAATGAGGGAGTTGAGGCTGTATATCAACCATACAATTAGCACATTTCCACTCCCATGTTAATGTCTGAAAGGGACCAACTAGCAGAGACCCACACCATAGAGTTCTGCTGTTTCTCAAACAGGTTCCAAGAAAATTCTTAAGCATACTAACAGAATTTCTACCCAGTAGACTTTTGTCCATTACTTGGGTATATGTCTTGTTTCTCTATCACAGAGTGCTTTCTTTTCCTCTATTCTCCTCTTCCACTCTCCTTTTACCTCCTCTTTCTCTTCCCCCTCTTTCTTATCTTCTTTCCCAACTATTATCAATTCTTTCCTGATGTTGTGGGAAACTTTGTATAACTTACATGAAACTTTCTACTTTTGAATTTTGGGCTTTTGGGACATAATCCATGCTTTTAAATTTAAGTAAAGAATTAAGGTTTATTTCTTCTCCTATCATGTCTTGAATATTCATTAAAAGGAGAGAAATGCCTCTGAACTTGGTGGCAGTTACATTTATTATTTGAACATTTACATTTTTTTCTGTCTACAAGGCATTTATGTTCACAGTGATATCTTTGACTGTCCACATTAAAGAATACCTTAGCTAATATAGCTAGAGTTCTTTTTTTAAACACCTTTTTAAGATTGTAGGAAGATTTTGAATATTCTTTCAATGTATTTTGTCTCTTTTTAGGTTATTCCAATGTTGCAAGAATTTATTATCAGCAAATTGGGGCGTACATTCATTGAGCCACCCCCATTTGATTTATCCAAGGCATTTGGAGACAGTAACTGTTGTGCACCACTGATTTTCATCCTCTCTCCTGGAGCAGATCCCATGGCTGCCCTTCTGAAATTTTCTGATGACCAGGTAGGTACCTTACAACACACGAGGGTATCTGATATTTCTGCTATTTTTAAAAAAGAGTATTTGGGTATAATTGAAATCTTAAGAAGTGAGAGAAAAGTAGAAATTGCCATTCAGCTCTTGAAAGGCTTGGCAGAGGTTGACAGAGTCCCAAGAAAATGATACTTAATGGCAACACTTATCCAAATTATAAAGTAGTCCTTATCCAAACTATAAAACCAGAATTTGGATTTGAGTCATTTGCTTTTCTTTTGCTTGGGGAGAGGGGCAGGGAACTCTGTCATATCATTTGTACTAGTGCATGAGCTTGGGTTAAGTTAATAAGTTAACCCAAGGGTGAACCTTCTGTGATCCTGCCTCTCTCCTAGTCTCTATAAGAGGTGTCTTCTTTGACTTTCTAGAGCAATTATGCATGATAGTCACTTTACCAAATTAGAATGTTCTGTTACCTACATTTCTAGACTTTAAATTTTTTCAAATGTATTCACTATAAATGTTCTTAATTCACACAGTCTAGAACAAGAAAATAATAATGAGCAGGTCTGGAGCATTTCTGAGTTGATTCTTTACCCTGTTTTGGTTTAACCAAAATAGCTTTTGGTGGAAATACTACTGAGATTTCTAAAATCAATACTTACACGTCTGTGGAGTGCAATATATGTATACTATTAACTTAGCTAGGCTTTATCATATGAAGTTTTCTCTTTCTACTTTGAGAGACTACTATGAAGTAAATGGTAGTGTTTGTACTTCACAGGTAGGAATACTAAAGCTTAGAGAGGCAGCTTCTCAAAAGCCATGAAGCTTATAGATTAAAACACTCTCTACTAAGCCAATTTATACTTTAATGGCCTATTTTTTGCATGAGCATAATTCTTATATCTTAGAGGATTTATTGTCTAACATAGCACTCACTATTTTTTAAAGGAGTGCTGGGATGCGGCTGTCATGACTGGAGGAGATGAGATCTGAGAAGTGTTAGGGATCAGATCATGTGAGGTTTCTGTAGGCTAAATTAAGGACTTTGAATAAAATGGGAATGTGTGGTAGGGTTTTAAGTAACAAAGTGACATGATCTAATCTGTCATTTATAAAGCCATCCCAATTGGAGCGTGAGAATTGGTTTGAGTGGTACAATATGGACACAGACCACTAGTTAGGGGAGCTAGTGAAGGTTCAGGAAGAGTGATGGTGAGCAAGTCTAGCTGGAAGTATCAATCATATGTGGGACTCATATCTCTAAATCAACATGTCCCTAACAGCCCTTTGAGCTCTTCCAGGTTCCTCTTTAGATCTCTTCCACATTAGTAGTGTGATTATTCTCTGGCCGCTATGTAGGTGCTGCTCCAGGCATTGTCTTCACTTGCTTTCCCACTTCTTCCAGAAATAGTAGTATCTAGTAACACTAAGGCATGGGCCTTCAGAGAGGGTCCAAGACCCTACTCTTCCACTGCTTCCATCACTTAAGGTTTCTTCCAAAGAGGAAGTGTGGTGGTAACCACAGAAAGAAAGAAAGAGATCCAGAAGCCACAGATGAGTCAGGATAAAGTAGAAGTGAATTCTAGGAAAACATTCCCACAAAGTTCTTAAAGAAACCTTTAAATGGGAATAGTGGCTAATTTTTTATTATTTTAATCATATGCAATGCCAAATTAGTTAAAATGTAATCAAAGACCTGAAGAAAATAGGACAAGTTCATCTGCCTATTCATATTTTTCTTTTTAAGATTTGGATTTTAGAAGTTATTTGAATTTTAGGAGTTGCTATAAGACAGCTGATCCATTTCATCTTTTGCTTGCATTAAAAATCTTTTTAATGTCTTTTTTCTATCTTTTATGTCAAAAACCAAAGACACTACAGAGTTTTTCTACTTACTACCACTACTGTTTCCTATAAGAATTTTCTTTCTTCTAAGTATTTATTTGCCTAGAATGTTTTAGGGCTGTTTATGTTTGAACCTTTGAAGGATGCTAATAATTAAATTTTAATAGTTAATGTTAACATTTTTCTAATAATATTGATTCTTCTAAAAACATGATGTTAAATAACATCTTTGCTGTTCTTGTACACAGGGGTATGGGGGCTCAAAACTTAGTTCTTTATCTCTTGGTCAAGGCCAAGGGCCCATTGCTATGAAAATGTTAGAAAAAGCTATCAAAGAAGGAACATGGGTTGTTCTTCAGAACTGTCACCTTGCCACCTCTTGGATGCCAACCCTTGAAAGAGTTTGTGAGGTAAATATGCAAGTTTATATTTATTTATTAGATTATACTCCCTCAAGTTAGTAGTGGTACCCATATCATCCAAGAACTTCCTCCTTGCTCTCTAATTTGAAGGGCTGTAGGTTAGTGGCATGGCCAGATCACAGGAGAGAAAGGCTCACACTGAGAACTCTGTCTGGAGGAACAGAAGACAGTACGCTGTCAGACTGTGGCAGATCCCCCTTGCTAGGGCTAAGGGCTCATCCAATGAGATGGAAAATATCCGTAATCCAGAGGAACGGGCTCCAAGATGAGACTAAGCCGCAGGGAGGACACACCTAGTTTAATTTTCACAGCTGTGGGTCAGGCCCATGATAATACTCCTGGGCCCTTTATTGTAGTGCTAGTTAAGATTTGCGTACCCTCTATAATTCAAGCCTGACATCTTAACAAATAGAGCTAACAGTGGTAAGTTTTGATGCTTCAAGATGTACTAGATCTTCTTATCCTTTACATTACTCTCTTATTTTTTTTTTAAGTCCCTGTTTGGTTTAATGTTGGCTTACCTGAGTGCATTGTATATTCTCATAACCTTGCTGCAGCAAGAGGAAGGGATTCATTTTAATCTAGCTCTGGGCAGACAATTATTTCTGTAACTATCTCAGCAACATCAGTGCAGATATGAGAATTATTTGTCTTTATTTTGGCCACTTCTGAACTGTGTAGCACCTTTGTGAGCTTTAAGTCACATGAATTCCTCAAGGAGGGGGTAGGGGGAGAGGGAGGGGGCGGAGTGGGTGGTAAGGGAGGGGGTAGGGGCAGGGGGGAGAAATGACCCAAGCCTTGTATGCACATATGAATAATAAAACAATAAAAAAGAATTCCTCAAGGACAAGAAGGACTGGCCCATTTCAATGAAGCATGTTGGTTCAGAGGCAGAAACAGACTTTAAAGCTTTGGCTGAAAATTGTGGAAATTACTTCTCTATTCCATAGAAATGCTTCCTTCTCCTTGCAACCTATCCCTTAAGTATGTTATCTCAAGATTTTTCTTTGGGTTCTGTTTATCCTTATGTTTCTGATTTATTTTCTTACAGGAGTTAAGCCCAGAATCAACACATCCTGATTTCCGAATTTGGCTGACAAGTTACCCGTCTCCAAATTTTCCTGTGTCAGTACTGCAGAATGGAGTGAAAATGACCAATGAAGCACCAAAAGGTTTACGGGCTAATATCATTCGATCATACCTCATGGACCCGATCTCTGACCCTGAGTTCTTTGGCAGCTGCAAAAAGCCTGTTAGTAATGGCTAAGTCTTGTTACCTCAGCCCTGTAAAGCAATTCAAGTGGCCTCTTGGTGATCAGGGATGTGTGCACTCAGTAAAAACTACAAATTAAATAGGCCTCCTGTACTGCAGTGCAGTTGGTTTTGATTACTGATTATTGACTGTGCTGAAGTCAATTTTATTAATATTTTATTTTAATTTTACCACCATCCTCTTTCCTGCTCAGCTGAGATCTTATGTGGTGTCATTAATAATGTAGCTTCCCATTTAGAAAGTCAGCTGTAAGCCATTCCCAGTACAAATCTGCAAGGTTGGAGAATCTTGTTTCAGGATATTAACTGAGCCCTTTGCTATTTGGAGCCATATCTCTAAATTAAAACATAAAAATATTTTCCCCACATAACTATAATGAGAATCAAAATGATTTTCCTTCATGATTGATGGGACTTATAAGAATTTTTTTCAGCGTCACTAGGCAAGTAGGGAAAACACCCACTGCTTTCATGATTAGAATTCTGTGTGAATGTCTGTGACCTAAAATTATTTCACAGTGTTTTACCGTAATTAAAAATGGAAGAGTTTCTTTTTAAGAGGGGTTATGAACCTTAGTAAGTTTTTGCCATTAGAAAGCTCACACTCTTGCTATCTTAATATGGATTAAGTAGATACCACAAAAGAAACTATTAAAAATAAAGAAGTACTTTCATTATACAAAAGCTTGGACACTAAAACTGAAGTACTTATATTTAAAACTAAGTCAAACCTTATCCTTAGCTTCCCAGACCTGTTGTGTGTTGAGCTTTTGCACTGATTAGGCTTGGAAAGAGCCGGTTACTCCTAGATAGGTGGTGAGGGCATTTCTGAGTATGACAGGATGGACAGAGCATCTTTGCAGAACACAACTCAACCCTTTCTTTCTTCTAGATCAAAAATTCTCTCCAGCACTAGTCACAGACTTCAGAGGTCTAGGCATTTATGAAACACAATTCCAACCCAACCCAAAATCTCATTAAGTGCCAAAGTAGCACTTTACAGTTTTTCTGTCTTAGTTCTTTGTATTTGAAAATAATTTTAAGCTTAGAGAAAAGTTGTAAATGTAGCGTAAAGAATATCTTTATGCCCTTTTACCTATATTCATCTCTTGTTAATGTTTTGTCCCATTTGCTTCATTTCTATTTTCTCTCTCTCCATATTTAATCCATATTTGGCTCATCTTGTACCTATCCTTCCCCAGTCATGGATGAGTCGTTTTCTCTGAAGAGCCCTATTTCCTTTCAATGGTGGATGATATTAGAGACCACTATCTGGGTGTTAGATGAGCTCATTGCCACTCTATTATCTTTGGTTCTTGAGCCCTCCATTAGAGAGAACTTGAAATTATGTACATATACACACACACCCAAATGTACAAATATATACACACATATACAAATAAGCAAGTATGTGTACATCTATATACTCATCTACATATTTTAGAAGTGATGATTTCATACTGATGCTTCCAATTTCAGCACATCTTCCCAGGGTTCTTTCTTGCTTTTCTTCATTCCACATTTATTTGTTCCTTCTTCTACATTGAGAAATCTGGCTTTCAACAACATCCATCCACACATTGACTAATTTGGTCAATAATATATTTAAAATAGTTCCAGAATTAGCCTACCATGTTTAACTTTAATTAGTTAAACTTATGCTATTTTTCTTTTGTCAAATTTTGCTACTTTTGTCTCCCACTCTCCTTTAGTTAAATTTATGCTGCTTTTCTTTGTCTCCTTTTCAAATTTATTATATAAAGAAAATTTTCCCCTGCTCTTGGATAAAACTTTTGGTATCCCTGTGACTTTAATGATTATTGTTAAATAACAAAACATCTGATAGTCATTTTAAATGACAGACTTGATTCAGGAATTAGGAAGCATAATGTCATATGTTAATCATTACTTTAATTTTTATTCAAAATGTAGGCTTGAGCTCTCTAGTAGCTCACCTGGGGCCTAGTCAGTGGATTTTATGCCATCAGGAAAATATCTTTCTTTTCATAGCTACTCTACTCTTGTATTTAATGGCTGTTGATACTAACTGCTCAGTTGGGAGTTACAGGACTAGGTGGGAAGGAGTAGAAATTCCTGATCGTGGCTAGTAGTGCTTGGAGCTCTCTGGACTGGGTGTGAGTTTAGAGCCGACCCTGACTCTCACCAGTTCTTTCATGGGTTCTCTGTGGGCTCTCCTGCTAGCCTGAATGACCCCACCTCTTTGGCAGTAACTCTCCTTCAGATGTCACTCCTGCCTTCCTCAGTTTCTAGCTCTCTAGCATTCCCTTCAGACAAGCTATTACTGTTAGGGTTTCCTTACCCCATGGCAAATGTCCTCTTGATCAGTGCCTTCACAGTGATGCCTGGCCTTCATGTCTAGCTCAAGTTGTCTATCTGCTCCTTAGGATTCCCACTGAGTTGTCCCACCATCAAAGGGAGTGTGATGATTTCCCTCTCAGAGTTCTGTATTCTACAGCAAAAGACTTCTCTACTTTTTCAGATGTGAGTTTTGCACTTTTCCACCCTGCCCCAGTTGCAAGGAATATGTCTCAACTCTGAGTGGCTCATTAATTCCTTAGCACTAACAAGCTAAAAATAGAGAACCCACACACCCTTTCTCTTGGTGGTGGGGAAGTGGGTTCCCAGAACAACACTTACTATGTCTGAGGTAATCACTTTACAAATCCTCTCTCATACTCTGTTTTGACCATTCTCCTTGTGGGTTCTAGAACTATCTAAGGGTTCCAATTATCCCCTTTTTAATTTCTTCTTGGTGGTCTAGGATCACCCACTGGAATTCATAATTCTTGCCTTGTGATACTTTAGTTGGAACCTCCAAAATCCTATAAGATAATATTGAATTAGATGCTTCCTAAAAGCATGGTGTACAAACATCTGTGTGCCAACTGAACATGTGTACAAATAGGCATGTAGAATACACTTAATTCTGTTTTAGTTATGCTTTGGGATGAATATGTTCCTGTTATTTATAAGCAAAGGGATTTAATTATTTTCTTTTAAAATATGGCATATGCAGTGCAATACTATTGGAAATAATGATGTGGCACAATTTCTTCTCATTACAGGAGGAATTCAAAAAATTACTTTATGGCCTCTGTTTCTTTCATGCTTTGGTGCAAGAGAGACGGAAATTTGGACCCCTGGGGTGGAATATTCCTTATGAATTCAATGAAACTGATCTAAGAATCAGTGTACAGCAACTCCACATGTTCCTGAACCAGTATGAGGTATCATAAAAATCTCAGCAAGGGCATTACCTCTTTTCTCTTTATCACATTGTGTTTGTACAGTAAGCAGGGACTTCTGGTTAATTCTGCTCTTATAAAACTAATTGCAAGGTAGTTCCCAACAGCTTATTAAATAGTACTTTATTATAATGGGATATTATAACTACTCTAGTAGGTAGTTAGGATGTCAGTTTGTCTCTTAGGAGCCTGTATTTCATCATTTATTTCGATGTATAAACACCTACAGAGATCTGAAAAGTGGTGGTATTGTATTTATTTTGAAAAGGACTTGAAAAGACCATAAATCAGTCAGGCTACAAAATGGAAAAAAAAACAATTTGCTTCTTTTCTGGAGCATGACTGTTTTTAGAGAAATGACACTATACTTTTATTCCAGAGTTTGAACCATTTGTCAGGAAAACAAACTATTTAGGCCAGTGATGTTAACCTGAAGTATTGATTCAGGAAAGAAGCCAAGGAGATTAATGGCACATCCACCACACTTCGTCCTGTATGATCCTGATCCTCTCACTCTCTCTCTTCTGTGTTTCACTGGGGAAAATCCCCATTCTGTATTAAAATGGAATAAATTGAGAAGGCTTCAGTTTTGCAGCATCTAAATTGGGCATACAGTTGAATCATAAATTTGATAAGTTTCTTTTTGTAGTAACATTTATATATACTCTCTATATGTATATGTATATCTATGTATATATGTCATAATACATATTATGTATATATGTACATACATACATATTATGTATACATATAATATATACTATATGTATATATAGAGAGAGAGACTAATAAATAGAGGAAAAATGCCATGACACAGTGCCTGAGGAAGGGTCTGAGCTAAAATAATTATAGTCTTTATGACAAAAAATAAAGAATGAGCTCTTCCATTTAGCAATTTGTTCTGAATAGTCAGTATATTTTAGTCTGAAATATAATCTGTAGTGAAGAATCAGTTGAAAGTAGACAGGTGTAGCCAGATGTGATGGCACACCTGGAATTCCAGAACTCAGGAGGCTGAGGTAGGAAGATCAATAGTTTGAGGTCATCCTAGGCTAGGTAGGGAGCTCAAGGCCAGCGTGAGCTACATAGTGAGATCCTTTCTCAAAAAAGGCAAGGGCTGGGGGGGCTGGAGGCATGACTCAAGTGGTAGAACTTGAGCCTGCCTAGCAAGAATGAAGCCATGAGTTCAGTACCAGAAAAAAAAGAAAAGCCAAGAGCTGGGGATGTAGCTCAGTGGTAGAGCACTTGCCTACCATGCACAAGGCCCTGGGCTTGATCCCCAACACCCTCTGCCAAGAAAATTATTCAGGTATGAAAGGCTGACTCAACATTTAAAAATCAAGGGTGAAAGAGGCTGAATTAGTGGAAATATTATGTATTCATGTATGAAAATGGAAAAACGAGACATGTTGAAACTATTCCAGGAATGGGGGAGAATGATGGAGGAGGTAAATTCAGCTATGATATATTGAGTAAATTACGAATAGGGGGAACTTCCTCAACCTGAGAAAAACCTAATAGCTAACAATCTTAAGTGGTATTCAACATGACTGATGTCATTGTAAGAGGAGGAAAATTTGGACACACACATGCAGAGAGAAGGTGCCTGGTGAAGATGGAGGTGAAGACTGGAGTTACATTACCACAGGGCAAGGAACACCTGGGGCTACCAAAAACCAGAGAGGCAAGGAAGGATCCTCGTAGAGTTACTGTTGGAAGTAGTCCTGCTTACACCTTGATTTTGAACTTCCGGTCTTTCATTTTAAGCCAGCTAATGGTGACCATAGAAAAGTAATACAGGAGACCATCATGATAACCCAGGCAGGAGGTATTAAGAGTTAAAAATAAATCATTTAAGTTGGGATAGCAAACATGGTAGAGAAACAGTGGATATGGAGGAGAAAGGATTAAAATGACATAGATATTAAAAGGTAAAGGGAGAGAAAGAGAAATCTTGGTTTATGATAGAATGTTTATGTTATTAAACATACAAACAATTAGGACCCTCCCTAGTATGTCAAAGAATTCAAATTAAAATAACAGTAATTATTTTTGGCTTTCCACACTAGCAAAAAAATTGAAACTGGTTGCCATGCTATAATCACTGTAGCCTTTCAGAAATGCACTTTTGTAATACTCACAAGTTGCTTTTTCATGCCCATAATCTTAGCTAGGAGGCCGAGATCTGGAGAATTGCAGTTCAAAAAATAGTTTACGAGACCCAATTTCCAAAATTGGACTGAAGGTGTAGCTCATGTTGTAGAGCTCTTGCTTTGCAAATTTGAAGCCCTAGGTTCAAACCCCAGTCCCACCAAACAAAAAATAATGCTTTTTATAAGTTCCTTTCCTTGGAAAAGGTAATAATTTCAAAGTATTTTCAAAGACTATTTCATGAAATTGTATAAGAAATCTCATGAGATGTGAAAAAATAAATGCAAAATTGAATAAATCATGTAATAGTCTCAAAATACACATGAATTAAAAAGAGAAATGGACAATGAGTATCTCTGACTTGTATTGGATTTATTTTTTATGTTGTTCAGCAATAAAAAGCTTTCAGGAAAGAATGATTTAACTCATTTGTGTTTGGCACATAGTAGGTACTCAAATAATGATGGTTGAATAGTTAATGAGTTCATAACTGAATAGAGGAGTTCTAGTCTCAGCATTGACTGAATGGAAATGAAATAACACAAAAGAAGAGAAAGATCCAGGGGAAAATCACAGCAATTAGCATGGAAGTGTATAAAGGGAAATTGTGTTATTGTGAGCTTTTGTAAGACATTTAATAATAGGAGCCAATGATAAGCACAATTCCATATAATGTGCTACTGGTAATTCTTATCTCGTTCATGACTAAGCTCTCAATTTTAGGAGCTGCCTTATGACGCCCTGCGGTACATGACTGGTGAGTGCAATTATGGGGGCAGAGTGACTGACGACTGGGACAGGCGTACACTGCGTAGCATTCTGAACAAGTTCTTCAATACGGAATTAGTTCAAAATCCAGCATATAAATTTGACTCAAGTGGTATCTACTTTGTCCCTCCTACTGGTGATGTAAGTATGCCCTTCAAGACATCTAACAGCAAGAGGGGTGCTGGTGGCTCACTCCTGTACTCCTAGCTACTTAGGAAGCTGAGATAAGGAGGACTGCAGTTTGAGGCCAGTCTGGACAAATAGTTCCTGACTCCCTGTTTCCAAAATAGCCAGAGCAAAATGGGCTGGAGTAATGGTTAAAGCAGAAGAGCACCTGAGTTACCCTCTAGTAATGGAGATTTTTTTAAATGGGGACCCCCCCACACACAGGGCATTATTTTTTGTTAATCTTGTGTGTGCTTTTTTCAATTATAGAGGGACTTAGAATAGCACCCCTTGCACAGATGGAGTTAGCAGTTTCCTGTTTGCTGTAATGGGAGGAATATCAGGAATAGCTTCCTCAGTGACCTGAATTTCTATCTTTATAAATTTAGGCCTTTAGATAAAAAGGCCTTGCCCCAATTAAAATGAATATACAAATGTAAGGGGCTAAAATATATATCATTAATAGTAATAGTTAATATTAATATCACAACTATTTACAGTCAGCTGTAAGTAATTATCTCACTAGAGCATCAGATTCACATGGGTATTATTATTATCTCATCTCTTTTACAAATGAGAAAGCAGATCACTAGGTTGAATGATTTGTCCAAGGCCACCCAGGTAGAGGTTGCCAGACAGTAACAAAACCACGTACACCACAAGGCCAAGGTTCCCTTCTGCTCCTTCCTCCAGTCCCATTTATTGCCTTCAGATCACCACACTATAGATTTCTAGGGACTTCCAGGACAATCCAGGTGTTTCTCATTTGATCCCCACAAGTCAGTGATCATATATTGAAAGCTAAACACCTGGCCACATGCAACAGAGACACGTACTATAGCTACCATGCCTAAACCCATCATCCACTGAGATCAACACCAGCGGAGGAAAGATGTTCTTATCAATGAAGGGAAAAATCAGTCCCAGATTCACATCACTGATGGTTGGGCCTTTGGGAGTTGGGGATAACAAGATCACCAGTGATGAGCTGTCAGGTATGAAAAAAGCAAGATAAAGTAAGGTATGTACATGACTCATGTCACAAACCCATCAAGAACCAAAACTCCCTTGCCACATGTTGGTGGATGTTTGTGTATGATTATAGGCATGTCGAGGAAAGTAAGAATTTGTATACATGTCCATGTAAATAAAATATAAAATGTATGTGCATATGCATAAAAAGATTGCTAATGGTGGTTATCTCAAGATAATAAAATTTCAGATAATTTTTGCTTTTCTGAGTTGGTTGGATTTTTCACAATAAAGTAAATCAAAAAAATTATTATTATACCATCATCAGAATCACCATCATCACAATGGTTTTTTGAGACAAAGTCTTGCTGTGTAGCCCAAACTGACCTCAAATAGGCATGCACCACCATACCTGGCTCAGAATAGATATTTTTATTGCAATTAATTAAGAACAGTCATCAGCAAAATGTGACAAAAGTTTCTTTGCAAGAAATTTTTGAAAACCTATTCCAACTGAATGACACATTTATTTTTCTCTCAAAATTAGTCTGTATTGTTTTTTAAACTTTGGCCAGGCTGTAAGACAATGAGAGCATTTGGAGTGCAGTCTGACAAACTCATGCACTCAATAACTTGAGTGTGAAAATGATCTTCCCTGCTCAAAGTTCTACTGTCTCATTGATTTCCAGCCTCCTGACTTTTTATTCTTCTCCACAGCACAAAAGCTACATCGAGTACACAAAGACTCTGCCCCTGACCCCAGCGCCAGAAATCTTCGGGATGAATGCCAATGCAGACATCATGAAAGATCAAGCAGAAACTCAACTGCTGTTTGATAACATTCTTCTTACCCAGGTGTGTGACCCATGCGGGGGCTGGCACTGAGCCAAAGGGATGTTCCCGAGCCCCACATGCCAGCACAGGAGAGGCCCCCCAACACAATTCTGTCACAGTGGAGGAGCATTCAAAGGAAAAGGAAAAATACATACATATCTTCAATATGGATTTAGACAGAGAGTACATGAACATATGGATTTTTTAGCAGTCTTGTTTTGGATCTGAGCCCTATTCTTTGAGTATAATTCTGTGTCTAGGAATTTCAGTCTGTCTTTCTTGCATAATATATCCCAATACATGATATATTATGCCCTTTTTCATTTCCATAAAGTGGAAAAAAGAATTCCAAATATACTTGGGAGCAGTTTGAAGACAGAATGCCTCTCGAATTTTACTTTCCAGTCTGTTTCTGATTCAGTAGCAACTGTTTTGAATGATTATCTTCATCTAATATTCCAGAACATTTTACCTCATTTATGTAGAAACAGTTTCTTCCACACTAACATTGTATCAGATTACATAATATTTAAAGGATTCAATTGCAAAATGAATTCAAAAGGTTAGGCGAAATAAGCCGGACGCCATTGGCTTACGCCTGTAATCCTAGTTACTCAGGAGGCAGAGATTAGGAGGATCATGGTTTGCAGCCTGCCCCTGACAAGTAGTTCCTGAGACCCATCTCGAAAAGAACCCATCACAAAAAGGGCTGGTAGAGTGGCTCAAGGTGTAGACCCTGAGTTCAAACCCCAGAACTGCAAAAAAAAGACTAGGAGAAATAGACAGGTGATTGTTGGTAGGTATGCAGCCCTACTGGTGAAAGTATAAATGCCCAGCCAGGTAGCAAAGGAAGATCTTAAATGCCATGGGCGTGAATCAACATATTTGAATGGAAAAATTGTTCATCTTGCTTGTCTATTAAGAGATCTTCTCTTTATTGCTCACACTTTGGAAGATTTGCTCACTTGTTTGTTTCTTTTAATTTTTGAAAGCAAATTAATTCAAATGGCAAGAGTTGCCATAATGATTAAATGAAATTATAATAAACTAAAGATGAATGTTCAGTCAAACAAGTTGTCTAACTGAATTCTGTTATTTTTATGAATGCTTTTGTGGTACTTATGACAATCCTCAGCTAGAAAACAGAGGCACAGAAAGACTAAGTAGTTTGCCCAAAGTCAGGTAACACAATTTCAAACCAGGATTCAAAGGAAAGCCAGGATTCCCACTACTTTGGCTCCAGAACCTGTGCTCTGAGCTGCTATCCTAAAAACGAGAGAAAACTTGGAAGGCAAAGTCAAAGATGCTGAAAAAGTTAAAAATTAGGAGGATGTGGTATGCTGTAATGGATGAAAGAGTCCATGATTGTAGAGGCTACTCTACAATGACCTTTTCTGTAAGGTAAAAAGAACAAAGACTATGTCCATTTTACACACTGATGACATAAAGTCCTGTTATTGCCAGGGTGGGCATAAAATTATATGAACAAACATGAATAAAGAAACCTTAGAAACATTAAGTGTGTATATTACACAATGGTCTGACAACAAGGCATTTACAGTGTCTTTTGGCTTTACTTAAACTTGATGGAGTGTGTCCCCATTACAGAACACATAAAGTAGTGGGCTCATTCCAACAGAAAATGACTTAGAACCAAACAAATAAGTTTAAATACACAAGGGGTATCTTTTTAGTATGTGATTATACAACCTACTTCAATATACTCAAACCCAGATTGGCAAGTACAATTATGGTAATGGTTTTTGAATCACAATTCAGAGGCAAAGAGACCAGAACTAAGATAGTGGAGAGCAAGTTAATGATGACAAGACTTTTGCATTATTGTTTTTAACTAAAGCATCTTAGAAAAAAATAAAAGAGGGAAATAACACAGTTTAGAATATAATTTTTATAGAGATCTTTTGCTTATGTTTAATGGCCATACTCTTACTTGAGTAGGAAAATTATTTCAACTTAAAATATTATAAAACCAGCATGGTTCTCTGAAAAGGTTAAATTCTGTGTTGTCTCCTTAAAAATAAATTCCTGTTATCCCTATTTAATAAAAAAAAAAAAGAAAGAAGAAAAAATAACCCTTGGGACTAGGGAAGTTTACTTTGTAAACTCTAGGCCCTGAGTTCAAACCCCAGTACTACCAAAAAAAAAAAAAAAAGGGAAAAAAATAGCCACTAGAAGAGTCCAAATGGCAGCTGTGAAAACCCTAAGGAAAGATAGTAAAAAGAAAAAAACTGAGACAAACAATTACAAATTAATAGCACCCAGTTGTTCTTAGTGTTAACTGGATATTACTTTCAAAACCCATCCCAGTTATGTCATTTTGATGTGTGAGAAATAGGTAAGGGGAATGTCTATGTCTCTAAAATATTTTTCTTACATTTTTGATGGGTTATAGCCTTGGGTTTTTCATGTTATTTTTTTGGGGGGGGTGTTGTGTATGGGGGCACAACTCTTGCTAGAAAATATTTTTGATGAGTTTATAGTACCTTATATGCACACCAAATTACAAGTAGTAATGAGTCTATATTACTATTTAAATGAAAGGGTAAAAAGATATTTCACTAGTTTTGCTCAATATTCACTACCTTTTTGTTCTCTGAGATTTGCTTTGCATACTCAGTTGTGATACAAACGTTTTAGGACCACAGTGAAGGATTATTGTACGAGCTGTCTCTTTTTTACTAGAAAATAATTGAAAATTACCATTTAGTTATTTTGTTTCTCAACTTTATAGGATCTTACGGCGGTATGTGGTAGGTAAGTAGAAACAAGTAAAAATAGTTAATGTTTATTGAACAGATTTATAGAATATTTAATGTTTACAGTATAGAAATCAGGAAATGTAAAATCTGAAAGAAAACTAAAACAATTTCCTGGACTAGAAAAATATGAGATATATTTATTTATATTCTAGTAGTGCTTATTTTCTCTGAACATACACACATACATGCATACGTTTATTCTGAAGATTTAAACAGCTTTTCCAGAAAATATAGATTCATTTGCACTGTGCTACTATAAACGTAAAAAACAAAAATTGAATTGAAATTCCCCCTCGTTGCTCCCACTGTGAATCACTAAAGCCTGTCTTTTTCTCCATAATTCTTCTAGCTGCTTAGAGGAGATGAGCTTATTTTCTTTGCCCCACAGGTTCAAGGAGAAAACGATATCTCTGCTTTTTGGCAACCAGTAGGCACCAGAGTTATTAGCAAATATATTTTGTGGCAAGCTTTCTCAAGACACAATCACATTTCCTCCTTCTGGGTTTTAACTGTCATCATCACTTGGCCACTCAGCCAATGTTGAATGCCTTTTCTCTCACCACCTGCAACATCTAATTCTCCCCCTCCCCCCACCTAGGCAGCAAAACCTACAGCATATTTGCTTTCTCCAAATCCTTTTCTTGCCTCTGAAAACATGAATGTGGTTCTCTCATACCATCATTTTCTCTCAAACATTCATGCCCCATGGCTGTTATCATCTTTTAATAAGTCTTGTGTGGAGGAGGCTCATGGACAAAATAGCAGAGCAGTGTTCATCGATAGAAAGATTCACCTTAGGGTTTTTCCTTTTCAGCTATTGTTAAAACCCTTATGAAGAGTTTTGAGTGATTAGTTTGGATTCTTCAGTCTCGTTCTGCAGGTGCTGGTACCAAATCATCAGACGAAGTTGTAAATGAGGTCGCTGGTGACATCTTGGGTAAACTTCCAAACAACTTTGATGTTGAGGCTGCAATAAGAAGATACCCAACAGCTTATACTCAGAGTATGAACACTGTGCTTGTCCAAGAGATGGGACGGTTCAATAAGTTGCTGAAGACCATCAGAGAATCATGCATTAATATTCAAAAAGCAATCAAGGTAAGGGAAAATACACACAAATAAATCATTGAATGAAACGTAGCATTCATTCGTGTAGCAAATATTTATTAGGTACCGATACTGTTCAAACACTGTTCTTGGCTCTAAGGGTATAAAAAAATCCCTGCTCTTGAGGATAATGGTTAAGAAGCAGGGAGATTATAAATATAGAGTATGCTAGAGAGCAGTACTGTGCTGGACAGAGCACATGTGTTCAAACAAAGCATTTAGAAATAGGAAAGACAAATGTCTCTGTCCTCGTAAGTTTACACTTAGTGAGGGAGATAAATAAATAAATAAACAAATACATACACAATTTTGGTAAGTGATAAGTTCCATGGAGAACAATAAAACGGAATAAGGGGAGTGAGTGACGGCGAGAAGCTCTTTCAGTCAGGCTGGGTCAGGCCTCTCAGAGTTGCTGAGGCTTGGACAGAACCCTAAATATGTTAAAGGGAAAGCCATGGGACTACTGAGGGAAAAGCACTTCAGGCAGAGGATGTAACAAGTGTAAAGCTAAGGGGAGAGCCACCAGAGTGTGGTCTGGGAGCACCAGAAGGAACACTCGTGTGGCTGGAGTAGGGAGAACACAGGGAGATGGTAAGACCAGATCATGATGGAATTTTATTTTAAAATATAAAGGTAAAGAGAAGGTTTCAGAAGCCTTTAAGTAATTAAATGAAATTGATCATTGTCACGTTTTTTAATGTTCACTGTGACCACTGCAAAAGGAATGTAAGGGAACAAAAGGAGTACTGAGGCCTCTTAGGCAGATGAGTTGGTTCAGCTGAGCTGGTCTCTTGCAGTGGCATTGGAGGTGGAGGGAAGTGGTCACTTAGGTGCTGTTACTAACAGAGGAGTCTCCTTGGTGACTGAAACTCCAAGAGAGGAGTCAGGATATTCCTAACTGTTTAACCTAACCAAGAAGAAGCTGTAGGGGAAGGAGCAGCTTTGAGGGAGAAAGTCAAGAATTATGTTTTGATGAGATGAATTTTGAGTTGCTTGAGAGTTCAAGAGAGAAGCCAAGGCTGGAGACAAATTTCACAGTCTGCAGCATACTGATTATATGCAACAACAAAATTTATAAATTATCTCAAATATTTTGGTAGTGCTGATAAGCATAGTTTATTTTGAAGCAGTAATTTCTCCCATCCAACCACCCAGCTCATATGAACTACTTATTATTTTTTCACCATTATCTCAATATTTCCCTAACATGGGAAAGAAAATATTTCAAATTTGAAAAACTTAACTGGAGATGACTTTTGAGATGATCAATCCATATGTTAGACTCATCTCTTCCTTCAGAATTTCAGTGAAGTGACTCAACCAACGTAACTGGGAAAATTCTACCAAAGATTCTCTGGCATGATGTATTATTTAACATATGACCATGAAAATGATTATTCCCAGTATAAAAACAATAACCATTTGCAAAATAGGATAAAACCTATTTCTTACAGTTACATAAATGGCAAATTCCTATAGTAAATTTAACAAAGGAGCATGTCGAATTTAAAAATCCAAAGCTCTATTAGGAAATTTAAAACAAATTGTAGATAAATGATCATAATATCTGATTTTTAGATTACCAGAAATTCATGACTGTACAAATGTCAACTAAAGGCATATAAATATAATAGTATTCAATTTTTGTTGAATAGAAAATATTTGCATAGTAGTATTTACTGTTGGTAGATAGGTCAGTTATTGGAAATTCTCATATATGCTATTGGAAATGGAAATTGGTTCTACCTCTTTGGTGTACCATTTGGAACTAATCAAAAAATGAAATCTCCTTCATCCTAAATGCATGTTTATACATGTACACATATGTACAGCAATGCTCAGCACAGAATTGTAAATTAAATACTTATTATTCAGGGGCTATGATATTATGCACAATGAAATACTTCTCAACGAGTGTAAGATACATTTATAGTTGCTAATATAAAAAGATGCCAAGAAATATTGATAAATAAATAAAAGAAACCTTATAGCTTTACATATTTTATTATTCAGTTTGGGATGAAGTTATATTCTCCTGAATTTCCCACACTTACTTTATCTCTCTCTCACACAATATTGTTTCTAAGTTATTTGAGAATAATACATGCTTACTCTTTTATCTTCACATTATTTGAATTTAAATTACTTAAATGTATCATCTCCAAATTATTTGAGAGTGGTACTTGCTTACCCTTTTATTGCTTAATAATTCACAATGTACTTTGAAGGATATTAAGAAGAATAAGAACTTTAATACAAATTTTATCTAATCAGTAAACAAAAATTCCAATTTTGTTCTTTTTGTGTGTATGTGTGTGTGTGTACAAAAAAAATCCAGCCAGGGCCTTGATAGGCTCCAGCATTTGAGCCATGCTCCTAGCCCTTTTGTTTCTGACAGGGTCTTGCTAACTTTGCCTGGGCTAGACTCAAACTTGTGACCTGTCTGTCTCTGCCTCCCAAGGAGCTGAAATTCTAGGCCTCATGCTGTGCTACCATGCATGGCTCCAACAATGTTCTCTTTTTCTCTTCTTTTTTTTTTTTGTGGTACTGGAAGTTGAACTCAGGGCTTAGCCCTTACTAGGCAGGCACTCTACCACTTGAGCTATGCCCTAAACCCTTTGTACTTTATTTCTTGAAAAGGGTTTCACTTTTATGCTGGGCTGTCCTGGACCACAAGCTTCCTATTTGGCAGACCAAAAGCTGCCACCCTGCCCAGCTTTTACGGGTTGAGATGGGATCTTGCAAACTTCTTATTCCAGGCTGACCTCAAACCGTGATCTCCTGTCTCAGACTCCCAAGTAGCAAGGATTACAGACATGAGCCACTGTGCCTGGCTCCAATGATGGTTTTGTAACTACATGGTTTTTTTTCCTGATACAGAAGTCAGGTCAGAATCAAATATTACATTTAGTTACCATGTGTCTTTTTTGTTCTATAACAATTTCTTAGTCTTTCTTTGTCTTTCATGACACTGACTATTTTTTAAGAATATAGACCAGTCATTTTATAAAATGTCCTATATTACTTTTAAAACAAAATGTCTGATTTGCAGTTTTTAAGATGTACAAGAAGAAGCAAAAGAAATTTTATACCAAAATCTATGGGATACAGGTAAAGCTATACTCAAGACAATCTACAGTATTAATTTTAATTTTTTGCTTAGGTATTAAACAAGAAAGGACGTGAAGGTGATCTGGCTGTGACATCTGTCACCCCATTGATTGCCAGGGTTGATTCGGCTGATCTGGCTGGCTAGGCGTGTGTCCCTTTCCTCCCTCACCGCTCCATGTGCGTCCCTCCTGAAGCTGCGCGCTCGGTCAGGCAGGACACTGTTCCCCGATAGAGGAGGACCCTCCTTTGATCAAGGGTATATGAGTAGCTGTGCTCCCCTGCTAGAGCCTCCAAACAAGCTCTCAAGTTTTAAACAAGAAAGATTAAAAATAAGTGAATATTTGGCTTAAGAAACAAAAAAAAAGGATATTTTATTAGTTCAATATAAGGAAAATAAATTTTAAAAGCTAAAATCAAAGGTCAGGAATAGTGGAGCATGCCTATTATCCCTAGGAGGCATAGAAAGGAGGATTGTAATCCAAGACTAGCCCCAGGCAAAAAGTAACTAAAGCATAAAAGGTCTGGGGTGAGCCCCTAGTGTGAGGGCATGAGGCCTTGAGTTCAAACCCCAGTACCATACAAAAAAAAGGGAGAGCTAAAATCAAAAGAAGGGTTGGGGAAGAAGAGCTAGAGGAGTAGAGATATAGAAGTTTTGAACAGTTCCATTTACAAACTGAGTTAATTGGTGTACAGAGAGCACTGTCTTCAAAAAGGGTATAATATGCTTTTTTTTTCAAATTTACATGGAACATTTACAAGTATTAATCATGTGAAAAAAATAAAATGTTTCAATAAATTAAAATATTTTAGATCATTAGAATACATTATCTGATCGCAGTATAATGAAGTTAGAAATTAATAACAAAAGATCTTATGAAATTACCATATATTTGGAAATCCAGGGAAGCACTTCTTAATCACCCACAGCTTTTTTTTTTTTCTTTTTGCAGTACTGGGGCTTGAACTCAGGGCCTACACTTTGAGCCACTCTACCAATCCTTTTTTGTTATAGGTTTTTTTTTGAGATAGGGTCTTGCAAACTATTTGTCCAGGCTGGCTTCAAACTGCAATCCTCCTGATCTCTGCATCCTGAGTGGCTAGGATTACAGATGTGAGCCACTGGTGCCTGGCAATAACCCATGCTGAAAGAAAAAAATTAAATGAAAGTTGTAAAACAATTTACATTAAATCATTATGAACAAACATCAACAAATTAAAAATCAGACAATGCATTTTTAGATATTTGGTTAGAAGAGCAAAAAGCCTAATGAAAGGAAAGCAAAAATCAATGAGAGAGAAAACAAGCACGTAAAAGACATATTAAGTAAAGCCAAATAGTCATTATTTTAAAGGACTAATAGATGTGACCAAGAAAAAGTGAGAAGTAAAAAAACAAAAGCCAAAAGCAACACCAAAAATCTCTAATGTCCATATAGGTTGAGCATACCAAATCTAAAAATCTAAAATCTGAAATGTCCCAAAATCTAAAACTTTTTAACTGAAAACATAACCTCACAGGAGAATTCCACACCTGATCTCACAGTCAAAACACAGGTGGACTAAAAATATGAAATAAGATTATCCCTCAGTGTATAAGATATATAGGAATCAAAAATAAATTTCATGCTTAGATATCCCTAAAATATCTCAATATGCATATCAAATATTACAAAATCTGAAAAAAATAATCTAGAATACCTTGGTCCCAAGAACTTCAGGTAAGGAATATTTCACTTGCAATAGAAAAAAAGGCCATCACAATAGATGCTACAGTTCATGAGGTCTAAAGGTGAGATCATACATACTTTATGACAATAAATGAAAAATGTAAATGACCTGGAAAAACTCTTCAAAAAGACATGTCACTAAAACAACACAAGAAGAAATCGACAATGCATAGTCCTAAATTAAATGCTTACTTGAAAAACTCTTTCATATGGGAAGCCTTCCTCTAGTGTCTGATAATTTTTGGTTGTCTGCTTTTTTTTTTTTTTTTTTCAAAAGCAGGACATTATCATGTTGAGTAGATATAGTCTGAGCACTGGTGATTATTGACTGCAGTCTTCCCTTTAGTGTAATCTGGCTGGGCTGTTTGACTAAGAAATATTTAGCATCATTATGTGTTTCTTCTGGACCTGGTTTTTTATGTCTCTTTCCTGGAAGATAAAGGCTGGATTCCAGCATTTGGGGAGCGAAAAGGGAAAAGAGGCCTAAGAATCCCAGCTTCCAACACACACACACACACACACACACACACACACACACACACACACACATACTATTACCCTTGGTTTTTAGTATTATAACTGACCACAGCCTGACCTGGCAGAAATTTCTGTATTTTCCTTTCCAGGATAAATATCTGCAAGGTAGGCAATGTTGCAGCTTTGGGGGAAAAGACCAAGGATTTTTATAAACGAGGTTTTGAAATTCTTTTCATTTAATACCACCCTTCTCTCCTCACTTTCAGAAGTATCCAGGGTCATTAATTCCCAAGGTTTGGGAGAATTCTTCAGTGTTTAGCTCACTGATTCTTAATTTTTCTCTGCCAGTTCAAGATCAGGTTTTTGTGACAACTAAGTCAACTACCAGCAGTCCATATGCTTTTAAGCCATCAAAAGTGTATTGTCCTGATCTCTATTCCTTCCTTCCTTTTCTTCCTTCCTTCCTTCTTCCTTCCTTCCATGGTGTTGGGGGTTGAACTTAAGGCCTTGTGCTTGTTAGGCAGGTGTTTTACCACTTGACCTGCTCTGCCAGTCCTCTTTATTTCTTTTCTGTATTTGTGGGTTTATGCCTTTAAAAATGGAATCAAGTCAAGTAGGCTTCACAATCGAATTCCAGGGAATTTTAACCATTCAAAGCATTTTATGACTTTCCTAATTTTATGTTTATTATTGTGCTTTTAAAAAAGGCAAGATAGAGCTATGCATGGTGGCCCCCACCTGTTACCCCAGGCATGGAAGGTGGAGGCAGGAGGGTATGAGTTCAAGGCTAGTTTGGGGCTACATAGCAAGATCCTGTCTCAAAAACAAACACCACCAACAAAAAAGACAGGATGAGGATATATTATTTGTGTGTCTAATGGGCAAGTAAATTAAGTCAAAGATAGACTGATTTAATAATGAGTAGCCAAGTATTGGTTAAGATTTTCCATTAAAATTTAAACTGTTAATATTTTTCTAAGAAATAGTTCAAAGGCCATATGTCTTGTGAGCAAAAACAACAAAAAACAGTCTCACGGTAAACAAAGGATAATTGCTAAGAAGGTATTTAAAGAGGGCTGTTCATGATCTTTCCTGTTACGTTAATAACAGGGACTTGTTGTGATGTCTTCAGAGCTTGAGGAAGTGGTTAGCAGCATTTTGAATGTCAAAATTCCAGGAATGTGGATGGGAAAATCCTACCCAAGCCTTAAGCCACTTGGCAGCTACGTGAATGACTTCCTTACAAGACTAAAATTCTTGCAGGTGAGTTAGTCCACATGAACATTAACTTAACATATTGTTAAGTTTTTTCTGACTTTATTTTCTCTATCAGAATGCCTACTGCAATGAGAATTGTTCTCTAGGTTCCCTGCACATCCCAGCCACAAATGACCACTTCTTAATAGCATGTCATGCAGCTATGTAACTGTTTCACCCAACTGCCAAAATACTAGTATTGGAAGAAGTGGAATTACTGCCTAAAGCCTTAAAGAGCAGGTGTTCATGTTCAGTGAGGTTAGACAGTCAAGCCAATAACATCAAAGGGAGAAAAACATCTTGCAAGGTGATGTCCCCCAGTAATTATTTAGCATTAAAGTAGATCCCTATAGTAGACATCTACTAGTGAAGAGTATTATTTCTTCATTGCCCAGTAGCCTTCTAGGTCATGAAATCGCTAGACTGCTGGTTTAGCCCAAGACATCAGTGACCTCAATAGCTACTTGTCTTAGAAATGGTTAATGGGCAGAAGACTATCTCCTTCACTATGTTCTTACTAATTATTATATACATTAGAAATATCAGTTTCCTAGATACTATAATAAGGCTCTAAAAACTGTGAGAAAATTTCTGCAAGGATAACTAACTCCCTTTTCATAATGTAGGTCCTCTGTTATACCAGAGTGTAAGATACTAATGCCTTAAGATTGTTCTTGAAAGATGAGGCTCTACCTTGGCTGTTATAGGGAAACTCTTTTCAAATGCATTTCTTCAGACTGGTTTCTGTGATATGCTATTTAGTTAAAGTCATTATTAAACAGCTTACCATTAGAATCTATGACAGGAATAGAGATTAAGGTTATCTTGATATTTCTAAAGATCTTAAGGTCTCACTACTCTGCTTATTTCAGGAGTTCCTTATACAATATTGTGTTTCCATATGTTGAATTTCATTGTATTGTCATGAAGTAAGAGAGAAACCTTTCCAAAAATTATTCTACTGGGTACTAGTGAATAACAGATTAGAGATAACCAAGTGAAGAAAACATCACCAAATGACCAGACTTTCTGTTCAACTGTATAACATGATATAATTTGTAACTTGCATGAGTCAGGACCAACACAAATTATGCTTTTTATTTTAAAAATCTTGAAAGCATGGCTTGTTATTCCACATTTACTTGCTCATATACTAGTTTACCTAAAAGACAACAAGAGTATTTTGGGATACATTTCAGCAAACAATGTTATATTAAAAAATTCAAAGAATATTATTAGGCCACTTGTGTTTGATCTACCATAGCAATGGTATGAGACTGGCCCTCCTGCAGTTTTCTGGCTGTCTGGCTTCTTTTTCACACAAGCCTTCCTGACTGGTGCCCAGCAGAATTATGCCAGGAAGTACACAATTCCCATCGATCTCCTTGGGTTTGACTACGAAGTGATGGAAGACAAAGAATATAGGAATGCTCCTGAAGATGGTAAGTGCAGTGACAGGATATTCTTATGTTCTCTCACTAAGTATGCTTGCTTACCCTCCTTGGTTGTTCAAAAGTAGTCACCTTGTATATGTAACTTACCCCCAAATGGTTGAGAAAAAATTCATGAGGAGAGAAAATGATAAGGCAAATGGGGGAGGAAAATAACAATTAAGTGAATCTGGATAAAAAGTACATTTCCTTATACTGTTTTTTCCCCAAATTATGTAAGTTAGAAATTATTTCCAATAAGAAAAAAAGTAATCCTCAAATGAATAGTACATGGGATAATCAACCATAGTCCTATATCAGCCTTGGATAATCAAGAAGGTATGAAATTAAAATTAGATTTTCCCTGATTCCTCAAAGAGCATACCTTTGCACATGCCTAAAATATGTGTTCTCTGTTATTTATACACATCCCACAACATACAGCTAATAGGAGCATTTTGTTATGATTGGCAGGTTGATTGTGAGGACATCTGTATTTTCTAAATTGTCTTTTCAGTAACTTGTGACTACTTTAATGTTTTATTTCTAATTCAGTAGACAGGCCACTATTTTAAGCAAGTGTTTTTGGTTTTTTTTTAACTTTATTTATTGATGGTGCTAGGGTTTGAACAAGGACGTTCTGCTTGCTAGGCAGGTGCTCTACCACTTGAGCCACACCCCCAGCAGCAAGTGTTATTTTTAAAATGCTACAGATTTCTGAATTTTATCAAATGGTGCTAATTTTAAGTGAATGACACCTATCTCTAAATGACTGTTAAGTAGCTGCTTTAGCTAACATGTTGTCAAAGACAACTCTGCTTCCTTATTCATCACTGAATTACAGACTCACTGGCTCACTCACTCAGGCACTGGAGATATCAACAGAAAACAGTTTAGTGTCTTGTCCCTTACCTAATTTATTCTCTGTTACAAGATACTGACAAGTAGACGTGTAATCACAACAGTGCATGACAATCGTATTACTGTGCAAGGTGGTTTTATTTTAAATTGATTGTGACACATTGACTGGAGGGAGCAGGGGAGTGTGTTGTAATGTGAGGTAACCCTACTTACTATTCCCCTAGGAAATTTGTTTTTCAAAATGTTTGCTTATACCCACTTTTCCCTTTGCTCAATACCACGCTCACCTCATGCTTCACTGCAAAAATAAAAAGATACCAGAAGACAGCTTTTTGCATCACAAAATCTGTAAACCTATCACACCCTCTGGGAATCCAGATCCCATTTCCTTCCTCCTTTTCCAGGGCTTTGCATCTTTAACAGTCTTCTGTTTCCAGAAACAACATTTTTCTTACGACTGGATAATCTCTACCAATATACAGCATGCTCTAGAATTGCTCATCTTAAAAAAAAAAAGGAATCAACAATTTTGATTGTCTTAGCAACCACTCCCCAACTAGCCCATATCTCTGCTTCCTTTTATAGCAAAATCTCTCAAAAGAGTTGTCCTTACATGCTATCTCTGAGTTCTCACTTCCTATTTCCTTTCTACCTTTTATCCTCTCTAATCAACTGATACTGTTCTTTTCAGAGTTGCCGGTGGCTTCCATATTGATGAATCCCATGGATTCTCTTTGGTCTTATCTTAACCTCTTATCAATTTTCACCAATTGCCAACTTTGTCTTTCTAGAGTTGGTCTTCTCTCTGTTTCTAGGATATCACCTTCTCTGGATTTTCCTTTTTTTATTGGCCACATTTATGCTTCTTTGCTGACTTATGCATCTTAAATATTGGCGTTTCCAAGGACTAGGTCCTGGGCTATTATTATTTTCTAATTGTATCCTCTCTCCCAGAGAACTCATCATTTTTTGTCTTTAACCATCTCCTTGCTGATATCCCCCAGTCTCCAATTTAGATCTTTCCTCTGTGGTTCAGACAGCAATATCCTACTTCCAAGTGACACTTTGGTGTCTTCTGGATATTTAAAACTTATCATTAATTTCAGTAAATGGCACCATAATCCAGCTGGAAACTCATGAATTCTTTCTCATCCTTCCACTCCCTCATGCACTCTCACATCAAATGCAGATACTTTCCTGTATTCCTATTGCCACTACCATTTTTTAAATCTATAATTCTGCTCTAGCTTATTATCTTGTCTCCCTACTCTCTTATGGCTTTGTTTATTAACTTCACAGCATTAGTCACCACTCTCCAATCATTTTTATGTGTTTCTTCCTTAATGGTTTATCTCCCCAGTGACAATACAAATACAGAGAATGGTGACCTTGCTTGTTTTCAGCTTTCTTTCCTCAGTGGCTATCAGCATCTGCCACATAAGCCCTCCAATGCAGCTGTTGAAATTCTAAACATCATGCTGCTTAATTCACTACAAATTCATGAAATCTAATCCAACCTTCTTAAGCACCTTTTAATCCAATCTTTAATACTTAATCTAGACAGTTTTACTGCAGAAAAGTATTTAAGAACAATAAACACAAGAGGAAACAGACCATCGGAATACACATCATCTTTTAGCTAATTCTTCCCAGCCACAGATACATAACTAATCATTAAGCTGATGATTTGTTTAAACTCACTTTACTCTTAATATACTTGGAATGGGCATCCATTACAAGCAATATCCATCCAGCCAGCAACATTGCTGGATGCCTAAAGGAAGTTTAGCAACCTCCTGCTATGTTACTTAGCTTATTGTTTCCTTAACTACATAAGCCTTAAAGTGAATCCCTTCTTTGTAAAGCTTACTATGTTACATGTTGCAAAAGATATAAAAAAAATTAGAGTTTGTGAGCTCTAAAATTCAACATCGAGTTAGATACATTTAGTGAAGAAGGATAAATAATGTCGTTCAAACTAAATATTTAAGAAGGTGGTTAAGGAGTGTTTAAGTTGAGCAAAGGTAAATCAAGAAAAGGGCATGGCCATCTGGGGTGGAGTTGCTCTGGTCCCCTGCTGGAGTCCAGAAACTGCCCAGCCCTTTACATTTAAGCCTTATGATAATGCTGCATCACAGATATTATTATTATGCCCATAATACTAATTCTGAAAACTAAGGCTCAGAGAGGTTAAATAATTTTCCTAAGGACTCACAGTGGTAACAGAGCTGAAATTTATATCCAAGCCATCTGGTTCTCATGCTTAACTGCCTTCTTCATGGTTTACTTAGTATTTAGCAGAAGCAATAGCTTGAAAATATCGCATTTCTCAGGAAAGATTTCTTGATGAAGTTGTGGTTAATTCTTAAGTATTTAATTCAGGTTCTAGAATATTTTTTCCTAACTTTTCTCCACGTGATTATGATAAAAAGTAAAAGGTGGCATTTGGGTTGAAATGTGAGTATAACTGATAATGTCTGCGAGAGTTACGTGCTTTTGAACTCAGCCGATCAAAAGAATTTATTAAAGCATTGCATAGCATTTATAAACTAGCTAATACCCAGGCTCAAACTTGAATTGCCCACCATTCTACACTGAACTTAGACACTGTATAGGGTAGTTATATTTCTTTTTACAATGGTTTACTAATGTAACCTATAATTACCCTTACTAATGGGAGGGCAACTATTAAAAATCCAGAATTATCTTAAAAGCAGTGGAGTATGATATAGAACACAACTTAATGATCAATGAAGGTCACTTATGTTCCACAACTGTAAAGAGTAGACATCAGCTAAATGAACCATTTTACTGACTACTAGTGCATCAGCCCAGGCTAATATACAATTTCTGATGGATATTTACTAATCATGAATTTCATTATTTTATGCACACAAATACACATATACATTTTCACAAATAAACACACATACCCATAAATTATTCTGTTTGTCATTTCAGATTTTTCCTTCCTACTTAATTAGCTAGCAGAAAAACAAAAAAAAAAAAAAGAGAATCCATGGAACAATTTGGAAAAAAGAGAATTTTTTTCTCAAAGAAATCTCTTTCTCATGGAACCTGAATGGGAGGGACATATATCTTACCTGAGAGCACCTTGGGTGAGGACCCAAGTTTAAACACTTTTGTGTGTCCCTGTCTCTGTTTTGAGCCTCATAAACAAGTCAGCCTTATTTACCTAAGATTAACTTAAAATATAATGAAAGGCACCTGACCTGGTAGTACATGCCTATAATCCCAGCACTCTGGAGGCTGAGGCAGCAGCACTGAGAATTCAAGGCCATGCTGGGCTACATAGTGAGGCCCTATCTCAAACAAATAAATACCTTTAAATCTACAGTGTCCCCAGAACTTTGTTTAGTATTTGGTGTTGGCCATTCTAGGAGTATTTACCTAAGACTCTTCTAATCTCAATCAGTGAGGTGGCTCCCTGGGAGCCATTTATAATAGGAAGAGAGGCAGAAAGGAGTGAATAAGAGGGGGACTGGAGAAACTGTGGCAGACCCTGTGTGCTGACCACATCTCACTGCAGGCAAAAGGTGTGACATCTACCTGGTGTTTTATATCCTGTGTTTCCCTTACAGATCTTACTTACCTTGAGAAATAAAAATGTACTTGTATATCTCCATCGTATTTCCTATAAAACTGTTGAGTTGGGAGGAACTTTTATCCCAATCACCCAGGTGTTGAACTCTCTTGAAGTTTTTCTAAGTCATTGCCATTCTTCTCAAGTGAAGAACGAATAATCTGATTGGCTAGAAGAAGAGATTTACTGGCCTTGCTTGACGTCTGTTACAAAGTTCTCCTAGTTTCCTTATCCCCACCTCTTATCGATTGACCTGTGGGCCGTTAAGGCTGGTGAGAAAGGTAGGATGCATGATGTGCTGGGTGTTAGGAAAAACGCAGCACAAAGAAAGCTCACAAGAAAACTCACGTCCAAGGGCAGGGTTTAATGGCAGATAGAAGGTAGCACAGGAAGAGGAAGAGAGGGTTCAGGCCAGGCATGGCCTTTTTATAGAAGAGGGAGGGTAAGGGGTTGGCGCATGCGTGCAGGGGTCCCTGATGGGGGTGGAGCTTGGGTGGAGCTTGTCTGGGAGCGCGGGAAACCTTGTTAAAGGGAGGGGCTGTTTACT